TACAAGTTATTGATGTTGTTTCAATACGAATATATTGTTTTCTCAATGCATGATAACGCGAGTTTTGTGCAGGAATGCGAACGTTGATTGTTTTCAGGATTCCAAAACCGGTGAAATGAAACGAACCGAGTTGCAGAATCGTAACGGAATGAGCTATTATATGCGACTTTAGTTTGTGGCCACTGGTCACTTTACTTCGTGTGTTTTTGATATGGATTTGCAAATGATGGAAGATGTTGCTGATGAATTCCTCACTTTGTACACGTGGATTTGTTTTTTCCACGAACTATTAAATTGATTGCTATTTATGCATTCGTTTTGATTCATCGTCATCATATCCTGGTGTGGCTGATTTTTGGAGAACGTTTATTGGATTATTTGCAATTATTTGCCACTGCATTGCATTGATGTTGTGTATGCTTCAATTTGTACCTCGTTTTGCAAGATAATTGACTATCGGGTTGTTTCAGTGAGTTGCATTAGCTCACAGACCACGTTTTGTTTTGTTCGTTGTATGAGTTTATGTAAGCAGATGATGAAATGAATCAAGAATTGAGAATACGCCGTTTATTTTTTAGAATCTCCGTGTCTCGCTCGTAGTTGGTATTTGATTGCTGTTTGTTGTATTGTTTTAAGTAAGTAACAAGTTTTGTATTGTTTTAGAATGTGTTCTTAAAGTTGGCTCCTTATATTTTGAGGTTTTTTTGTTTTGAGCATGCAGTTGATTGAATGATGTTTATGAAGCTGGATTACGTTCGGTGGCTCATAGCGCCTAGCGATTCTCGGCTTGTGTTCTTATGCATACACTAGAAAATCTGATGCATTCCCGAGGAACTGAATGGAATCGTTTGGAATTGAGATTTCACTTTTTCCAAAGAGATAATATTCAGGGTTTTAATTATCGTTAGATTGATGACACTTCATTAATGTTTTTGTTTTTGAGTATCGTTTGTTGTTTTTTAACGTTCAAAATAGTTTTATGTTTTTATCACGTCGTTGAGACAATTCCCCGTGCTTGTTTATGATCATCACTCATTCCATAGGGATCTCATAGAGTTGAAAAACAAATGAGAAGGAGAAATTGTTCGTTGAGCATTCGTATCGTGTTGTTGTTATTATTGTTGATTGACGTTCAAGTTGTTGATGTTGCAGATAGATAGATATTTAAGTTGCTAATCGAATGTTTCAGAAAACTGTTTGATATCACCGTTGATTACTCTCTTTTAATGCTTTGGTCAGTTCCATTGAAAAGTTCATGAATTGTATTGTTTGTTTCTCTTGTAATGCAGCGAATCGGATTCGATTGCTTATGAGAGTTGTTTGCCTAAGCGATAATTACACGTAGTTTCTTTAATGGCTACGTGAAGGATGTTGCTGTTGTTACTATCAGATTGCTTCAATAAACAATCACTATTACTCTTGCATTGAATGTTTTTCATGTTCACACAGTTCGTGCAAATTTCATGTGCTTTTTTAATCATCAATCACGAATTTGGAGTTCTTGTGCATCCAAAATTGTTGTGTTCAGTTATGATGGTGTGAAAAAATATTTAGGACGAACACAATCGGAATATCTCGATGCATGAGATTATCAGTGTGATTCCGAAACAGAAACGAGCCAAATGAATATGTTGGCAAGAAGTGTGAATAGCTGACATTGTTCTCATGAGAAGTGCTCTTGAAAACCTGCATCTGCTCACTCAAAATCACTCCAATAAACAAATAATACAGTCAATGAAGACCGCAAAATGGTCTGAGTCTTTCATGCTGATATGGGGAAGAATTCGGTGTTGAGATAAACAGTGGTAACGGTTAAGTTATATTAACAATGTTTATACTAGAAATTATCAACATCTTATGGCTCCCCATAATTGTTGTTCTTCTCTCCAGCTTGAGCAGTTTTGAATAATGAATATGAAGGACCCACTAACATCTGGAAGTTTCATACACATTATTTTCATGGCCTTGTCGCGATTCACTTTTGGGCTTTTGATACCTCGCAGCGTCTAAGCAGCTATCCTCCTTATGTTAGATTTACCACACCTTTCAGTGATTCTTCACTACTTAGCTTACGGTAGCAGCGCTTATCGTTAGAGATTCTGCCCAAAAGAACGATGCATGAACATCAATATGCTCCAGGGCAAACTTGAGAAGATGGTAGGCTTGAATGCACCAAAATCGTATTT